ACTGTGGGCAGAGACGTCTCCTGACTCTGTTTCTCTAACAGCTAACAGCGTAGTTGGTCCACCGTCAATGGTAATGTTTGTTCAATGACTAACGAATGAATGAGCAGGGCTGGGGTTAAAAATATTCCCATTTTACGGATGAGGCCCAGAGGGGGAAATAACTCGCTGGTTGGATGGAGCTTCCCGGGCTCCCATCTAGCCCTTGGCATGGCCTGGGCTGACCTCCCCCTTCAAGTTTGGCAGCTCCACATAGAACTCTAGCTCCCCAGATCCTAGCCCCGTGCTCTTGGCCCCCGCTTTCCTTTCCGGGAGTGTTTACTGAGCCCCTGGGAAGCTGGTTCTGGGAGGGGAGGAGGGGACGCCACCCACATCTCCCCGGGCGAGCTGATGCCCCGGGCGAGCTGATGCCCCGGGCGGCGGCGGTAGAGGGGAAGTGAGGGTTTGCCATGCTTGGGAGCAGCTGTGCCAATGGTGCTGTAACAACCAGAAGAGGTAGGTACGTGCCATTATGATCTCCATTTCACAGGCAGAGAGACTGAGGCTCAGAGAGCAAATAACTTGCTAAACAGTTCAGGTCATTTCGAGGCAGAGACTCATGTCTGCGGGACCCCAACTAATGCTCTTGACCCCGGCTTCCCGAGGCCTCGCTGGGCTCAGCTCTGAGCCCTGGGCTGCAGGAGGGAAGGCTGAGTGTCTGAGAAACGTGTGGCCGGTTAGAACCAGCCGGGCCTTGGGGAGAACCACTGTAGCCCCCGCCGACTCTCAGCTCCCTGTGGGGCCTGTGCGGGGGCCAAAGGGCATGGATCTCAGCTCTGCCGCTCAGTGGCTGTGTGTGCCGGGGCTAGTTCCTTAACCTCTCTGTGCCTCAGTCTCCCCGTCTGTCCTCTGGGGGTGACACCAGTCCCCGCTTCTCAGGATTGGAAGCAACAGACAGAATCGAAAGCACCCAGCACCAAGCAAACAGTCGGCGCCCACTGTGCAGCAGCTGTTTTATTGTTGCCACAGGCGCTGCGAGGCCTGTGCTCACAGGGAGAAAGGGCCTGCCTGGCCTCGGGAGTCGGGGTCCCCGTCCCTCCTCCTACGAAAGTTTGACTTCACCTTCTGGACCTGAGCCCCGGGGAGAAGGGGAGCGATGCTCTCAGTGCCTGATTCACAGGCCCATGAAACAGGTGCACAGCACCAGCCCAGGGCCCTGCACACAGTAGGTGCTCACTGAGGGAGCCCCTGACCTTGGAGGGCCCAGAGGACAGCCCCAGACCCCGCCTGCCACATGATGGGGCTTTTTAAGTGTTGGCTCTGCCCGGGGTCAGGCTGGGCCAGAAACATGGCCAAGGTGGGTCCCTCGGCCCTTACCCAGGAGTCAGATGGGAGACGAGGCAGGAGAGGGTGGGAGGGGTACCTGGACCAGGACTGAGGTGAGCAAGGGGGATGTGCAGCTGGGTAGAGCTGGGCACAGCAGAGGGACAGGTGGTCTGGGATGGGGGCAGCCTCCCCAGGGTGGAGACCTGCTTCCTGGTGGTCCACTGGGCAGGCTCTCTGCTTCTCCAGCAGCTGACTTGGGGCTTCCAGGGACGTGTGTGTGTGTGTGTGTGTGTGTGTGTGTGCGCGTGTGTGTGTGTTGGGGGGAGCGGACAGGATTCTTGTGTCCCTGGAGACAGGAAGGAAGGCTCAAGGCCCAGAGAGGAATCGCAGGGATTTAGAGGGATGGGCTGGCTCACGCAAGGTCCACGGGGTTGGGTTCATGGCGCCCAGACCCAGCTAAGCATCCACAGGGCCAAGGTCCAGGGAGGGTGGGGGCTGTGGGCCATGGCTCCTCTCCAGGGAATCGGAGCCCACAGGGAGCCCTGCTGAGACGGGAAGTGGGCTGGCAAGGGCGTGAACGGACGCACGATGGGGCACAAAGACCCGCACCCTCTGCTCCTGGCCAGGCTCCCTGCACCTGGGGGTGAGCCGCCTCTGCAGTCAGCAAGGCCCTGTGTCTCCTGCCCGCTGGGCTCGGGCTCCGAGGGGGCCTGGCCTCCACTCACAATCCCTGCTCCCCGCACTCTCCACTGAAAAGAAAGTTTTGTTTCTTCTTAACGTCTTAGCTCCTTCTGAAGAATTCCAACCTCAACCCCGTCTCTGCTGAACCCAGAGAAAGGAATGCGCGGTCGGTCACCTCTGCCAGGGAAGCTCAGGGACCCGGGGGGAGGGACCCAGGGCTCTGTGCTCACTCAGACCCACAGCACAGCCCTCCCCCGGCCCCCTGGCCCCC